GACGATCACCTGATTGGTTGCTGCCGCTATGCCGCTACAGGTTTTGCTCAACTTCGCACTTCGCTTTGCCTTCCGTTCTTGCTTTCCTGGGTGCGTTCACGCGCTGTAAGATAGAAACCGAGTGAGCAAGGTGTATCGTCCGAAATGCAGGCTTTAGCGCTATGCGTACCGTCAGACCGATCGACCGCTTCTGCTGCCGCTGTTCACGCAGAGGCCGAGGCCGAGGTTCCTAGTCACTCACTCACTCACTCACTCAGTCACGTACGCACGTTCACTGAGTGAGCGCCAGTAGCCGTGATGTGCATCGGATCGCTGTTGCAGCTTGCTCCCTCGTTCGCTGCCCGCCTTTACCTCGTCGCAGCACACCGGCTGATTGCTCTCCTGCTTCTCCTTCTCCTCCTCTTCCTCCTCCTCTTCATCATCATACATTTTGCCGTTCGTCGGTGCCTCTCGCTGTCAAGAGCATTCGATACATCGTTCGTCACATGATGCGCTATTTATGCAGTCATCGGTTCGTTTCTTCTTTGCAGACTCTGTTCGATCCGGCGGTTGCCGATGCACATCTCTAGATCAGTCGGTACCTTGAAAATTTGTTCTTTGTGTAGGAGGAGAATGATTCTCATTCTTATTTTAACTTTAAACTCCTTTCGCTGCTAACCCCGTCGAATCTTACTCTTCCCCCTTCGTGTTTTGTGCCTTTTGTCGTACAGCGTACAACCAAATCATAATACATGTCTGTAACATCGTCGCTTTACGCAACTGCTAACACTGCACATGCCGCTTTTTATGTTTTCTTGGTTGTTTGTTGTAATAAATAGAATCCAGAAATTAGCATAATTGCTTTTAAACACTTCCATCCTCGTTATTCATAGTCTGCCTGCCGAAGACAAATTACTGTTTTGTTCTTTTACTAACCTTATTCGAAAAGAAATTGAGCAGCATCATCCTCTGTCTGTCAGTCAGACTACATGATGCTAGCCCCTGCCCATGGTAGATAATAATGGTGCCCCTGCCGTTATCATTGCCGCGTCGTGGCGGTGGTGTTTACGTGTCTCAATGAATCTCGAAGCTATACCAACGGAAACGTTGGCTTCTGGCAGAGTAACCTGTGTTAGACAGGTCAGAGGTGAGAGACGAGTCTAATGGCGATCAGCAGTGGCTGCACAAGTTTTGGAG